GGGGGGGGGTCATTAGTAATCGCTGACTCCAAACATTCATAAGTTATGACACAGCCACTACAAAGTTATTACTAAACAAGCTACAACATCATGAGTCATTTTCTCTGGAACAAAGTCATGAACTTCTTTCCTTCTGTTTCTGAGATTGAACGTCTGAACATCACTAAAGAGCCGATTCATCAATCGTTTGATCATTTCAGATCCATTTATCTCCACTGTTTGTCACCAGGCTGCTCAGTTCATGGTTGCTTCTTCAGAGCTGGTCTTTTCTGACCCACAGTGGAGAAGAAATTTGCACTAAATGAGCAGAAACATAAAAATCAGATCAGATTACTTAAACTAATTATATGTGTTGGTGTGTGTTGGTGTGTGTTGGTGTGTGTTGGTGTGTGTTGGTGTGTGTTGGTGTGTGTTGGTGTGTGTTGGTGTGTGCACATCTTGGCTACATCTTGGGGACCATTTTTCTGAAAATTGCAGCCTCATTAAGACCGCAGCCCGGTCCTGATGGGAGTGGATGCTGATTTTGGGTGTTGGGTTTGGTTTAGGACCAACATATGGATTGAGTTTAGGTTTGGGTTATGCTGTAGAAATGAATGGAAGCCAATGCAAAGTCCCCATGAGGATAGGAMTACACTGCAGTGTGTTGGGTCAGAGGTCAGATTMCCAACATATGACGTGATGAAAACTCTAAACAGGAACATAAAACAAAGTCCAACTGAACACAAAATAAAACTAAAATCAGTTGTCCATCAGATTCCAGAAACCAACATGTTCTGATTGTTTACAAAGTGCTTCATAAAAGAATCAGATAAAACTAAAATACATGTAAATAAATCTCTTGCAGGGTTTTGTTTCTCTGTGGTCGTTCAGGTTGTTTTAATCTAATAAAACTTTAAATGAAGCAGATGTTTTATGATGTTTTATGATGCTGAAGAAACCTTTGAACTGAACTCTGCCCTACCTTCTCTTAACGAGACAAACGGGTTTGTTCCAACAAGGAAATGAAGCTTCATTAATCCTGGAGGAGTCAAACAGGTGGCTCACCTGTCTCAGCTTATTTACCTGTTCTATACCTGCTCTTCTGTCTGATGTGACAGTACAGGAATTAGACCTCACCCATTTCAATTGGAGATCAATCAACACACCTGATAGGTCACTAAAAACATTTAGTTGTTTCCTCCTGCTCTTTCCTCCATGCCAAAGTATGCTTATTGTTTTCTGTTCATTTGGTTCTCCAGAGTGTTTATACTTATTTCTTCCTAGTGTGCTCTAATTTTTTTTCCTTTTTATTGTTTCTCTAATGCTTACTTGAACTGTTTCAGCTGTAATAAATGCAATTTCCCCCCAAGGATCAATAAAGTATTCTGATTCTGATTCTAAACACCTCTCAGGTGAACCGTATGGGACACCTGTATTTATACTGATCAGAAACACCTGAACACAAAATGGGTCACCCTTCTGTTTCTGTGACAAACTGGATTGTTGGAGGCAGAAGATCCACTACAACCTGTTAAAAATGCCCCAGTTGCCCCCAAAATGTCCCTAAAATGGATGGATGGATGGATGGATGGTTGATGGATGCATGGATAAATGGATGGATAAATGGATGGATGGATGCATGGATAAATGGATGGATAAATGGATGGATGGATGAATAAATGGTTGGATAAATGGATGGATGGATGGATAAATGGATGGATAAATGCATGGATGGATGGATGGATAAATGGATGGATTGATGGATGGATGGATGGATAAATGGATGGATTGATGGATGGATGGATGGATAAATGGATGGTTGATGGATGCATGGATAAATGTATGGTTGATGGATGCATGGATAAATGTATGGATGGATGGATGGATAAATGGATGGATGGATGGATGGATGAATAGATGTTGGATAAATGAATGGATGAATGGATGGATGGTTGATGGATGCATGGATGGTTGGTGGATGCATGGATAAATGGATGAATGGATGAATGAATGGATGGATGGATGGATGAATGGATGGATGGATAATGGATGGATGAATGAATGGATGGATGGATGAATGAATGGATGGATGGATGGTTGGATGGATGGTTGATGGATGAATGGATAAATGGATGGATGGATAATGGATGGATGGATGGATGGTTGGATGGATGGATGAATGGATGGTTGGATGGATTAATGGATGGATGAATCAGTGGTTTGTAGTGTTGGTTTAGCTGATTTGATCTGTTTCCTTCATCAGTTCAGTTTCAGCTGATTCTGTTTTCACAGTAAACTTTTCTGGTTTAAAGTCCGTTTTCTTCCTCTTATCCAGGGTCAGGTCTCAGGGTCAGGTCTCAGGGTCAGGTCTCAGGGTCAGGTCTCAGGGTCAGGTCTCAGGGGCAGCAGCCTCAGCAGAGACCCAGACCTCCCTCTCTCCAGACACTTGGACCAGCTCCTCTGGGGGAATCCCAAGGTGTTCCCAGCTGAGAAACATAGTCCCTCCAGCGTGTCCTGGGTCTTCCTCTGGGTCTCCTCCCAGTGGGACGTGTCCAGAACACCTCACCAGGGAGGAGTCCAGTCTGGTTTAAAGTTGTTTTTAAAATAAACAAGAGTTTGTTTTCTAAAGGTTTATAAAGTTCAGCTGATCTTCTTTTGATACTTTAACTTCTTGCTCGTCTATTTAAAGAACCTGAGGTCAGTTTCAGGAAATCCTGTTGGAAACTTTGATCTTCATCAGAACAGAACTCAGAAACTTTAAGTTTAAACATGAACTGGACCTGTTCTTCCTGTTTCCTGGTAAGTTTTAAATAAACAAATCTTTAACTCTGAGTACAAACACATCAATTAGATTTGGATTTTTGCAGCACACAGTAAAACAGCTGCTCTGCATCACAAACGTTTAAAAATATTCAACTTTTCTTCAGAGTTCTTCACATTTGGACCTGGTCCAACAGGAAGTCCTCTCTTTCTTTTGTTGTGTGAACAGAAAGTGTCTGAGTCCAGCTGTGGGACATCAGGAGGACGTGTCCTCACCTTTGGACAGCATGTCAAAGTCCACGAAGAAGCGCAGCGTGACGGAGCTGGTGACGAAGCCGAAGGCCGGGCCGATGGAGGTGACAGCGAGGAGGATTCCTGGAAACACAGAACCTCAACTTTATTTTTTTATTTTCTGTATTTAAACAGGCAAGTCCCTGAGAGATCTCAGATSTCTTTAAAGGGAAGTCTGGGCCTGAAGGCAGCCTGTTGTACAGGTTTTTAGTTGTTTTACTTCATCTGATTCAGTTTGTTTGWTAAAGTTTATCCAAAACATCCCATAATAATCCACTGGGTGGGATTTTAATTAGCAAGTGGACATTTAATTGATATTTACTGACTTTATTTTATAAGACATTAAAAATGGACACAAATATGATGTTTAGGTTGTGGAKCAGGACCCAAAGAACCAGTACTTTCCTTCGTCGGGGGATCTGGCTCAGTCTCAGAGGCAGGCTGAGGAGGTCCTTCATCCAGGAGGAGCTCAGAGTAGAACTGGATCTGGGTCTAAAGGAGTCTGCTGAACTGGGCAGGGGAAGGGGATTATAGAGTCTCTCTGGTCTGGAGGCACCTCCAGGTGGAGCTGGAGAGGGTCTCTGGTTTGTCTCCTGGACTACAGATAAGAGGTAGCRGATGGAGATTATTGGACTAATGTCTAAACTCTGAGAGACGAGCCCTCYGSAGTTTTTGTCTGGATTGTGTTCAGGCAGAAGAGAAAGTGAGATTTGGTTGTTTCAGGTTTCCTGTAAGGATCAGAATCTGTTCCAGGAAATGGTTCAAGTAGGCCACTTATGTAAGCAGAGAGCTTTCACTCTCAGTCTGACTCGTTTTCCAGCTCGCAGGCAGAGTTAAGGAGAAGAAGAGTTCGATTCCAGTCATCCTGCCTCTGAAAACATCCTGTTATTTAACAGATGTGGTGTTTATCACACAGCTGGGAGCAGCTGGATTATAYTCATTGTTCATTTGTAAAACAGCAACTGGGTTCACACGGATCAGAACAAAGCCAAATATGGTTCAGAACACTAGAGCCAAGAGACGGATCAGAACCACGGGTCTGCTGTTGTAGAGAATGTTTCCCGTTTTCTGCTCCTGAACTACTTTCTCAGCTCTGAACTGTTTCCTGAACCCTCAGAACCTGATAAAGGAGCTGTGGTTCCGGTCCAATCCAGTCTCTTGTCTTAGTACTCAATCGGACTGAAGGAGCCGGGTCAAAGGTCAAGACCATCAGTTTTAAAGGACAATTCAAAGGTTGAAGTTTATGGAAATAATTTTAACAATTTATACTTTTGCAGAATCAGTCAGAACTGGATAGGACCAGTTAGGACCTGTCAGAACCAGTCCAAATCAGTCAGGACCTGTCGAATCCAGTCAGGACCTGTCGAATCCAGTCAGGACCAGTCAGAACCCGTCAAAACCGATCAAGGCCAGTTAGGACCAGTTGAAACTAGTGAGGACCAGTCAGAATCAATCAGGACCAGTCAGGACCTGTCAGAACCAGTTTGAACTAAGTCAAAACCAGTCAGGACCTGTAAGAACCAGTCAGAACCAGTCAGGACCAGTCATCAAGACCAGTTAGGACCAGTCGAAACCAGTAAGGACCAGTTAGAGTCAAGACCAGTCAGGACCTGTCAGAACCAGTCATGACCTGTCAGAATCGATCAGGACCAGTCAGGACCGGTCATCAAGACCAGTTAGGACCAGTCGAAACCAGTTGAAACCAGTAAGGACAAGTCAGAACCAGTCAGGACCTATCATAGCCAGTTAGGACCAGTCAGAACTGGTCGGAACCAATCAGAACCAGTCAGGACCTATCATAGCCAGTTAGGACCAGTCAAAAACAGTCAGAACCAATCAGGACCAGTCAGGACCAGTCAGAACCCATCATAGCCAGTCGGAACCAGTCAGAACCAGTCGGAACCAGTCAGAACCTCTCGTCACCTACCGAGGTAGAGCGGTGAGTTCTTGCGGCTGGCGTAGTCGTCGATGTAGGAGATGCCGAAGGGCTGGATGGGGACGGCTCCGATGCCCAGCAGCAGCTGACCCAGGATCAGCAGGGGGTAGGCCACCTGGTGGGCAGGGGTCTCCAGCTCCAGGCATGTCTCATTTTTGGCGGCAACGTTRGTGGTCCGACAGAGACCGGATCTGTTGTCATTGGTCACTGATGAGAAAGAGAACAGGATGAGGTTGATCGTAACCAGTGGTCATCATGGAAACCAGACTGTGTCTCACAGCTGAGCCGGTCGGTGAATTCGTAAGGTCCACTCAGGAAGTGTGGCAACGCCATCAGCAGGGAGGCCAAACAGGCCAGCAGAGCTCCGCCCCCGATGTACCGTGGCCGGTGGATCTGGCTGCCCAGGAAACTGACGAAGACGATGAGAATTGTGTTTCCCACCTGMAACCAAAAGCACAAAGAGAGCGACGGTTCTGTGTCAATCAAAAGGGGAGGACCCGAATCATGGTTTTACATTTTAAACCCAGAACCCATGAGGATCTGGACTCAGATCCAGACAGTCTGGGTTCGTCTCCGTGGAGTTGAACCGACCTCATTAAAGGAGGCGAGAATCCCTGACTTCTGGCTGGAGAGGCCGTAGCGTTTCTCGATGGTGGCGATGGAGCTCTTCATGTAGCCCGACACCAAGAGCTGGGACAGCTGCAGCAGACTGTGGCAGAACACGAAGAACTGCAGGGACAGGAAGAGCAGTCACACAAACATCTAACAACAGAGAGGGTCAACGAAGTCCTGATCCAGGTCTCGTTAGAACAGCTCAACAGAGTCTGGATCGTCGGAGGGAAACTGAAAGAGGGTCATATCAAGGTTTAAGACTTTTGCACAGAAGTGTTTGTGTTTGAATGAAACAGCTGATTAATGTGAGACGTCTTTAACAGCTGACGTGTTGAGAACAACTACAGGATGAGGAACTTTGAGGAACCAACCTGACCTRAGACCAGACAGATCTGAGAGGAACCTTTATCAGGGACAGTACTCACCCCCAACACAACCTCCTCACGCTCCTGCCATCGGATCGATGCTACAGGAGTGTGAAGTCCAGGACAAACCATCAGGTTTGTAACACCTCCCCCACCTTCACTCTGAAACTGGTTGAACTCTAACYTGCACCRMTAATATGAGCCCACCACACACTCTGCAGCTACTGGTCRATAATTCTGTARAACACTGGTTTATGTAATTACTGTCTAATACATATTCTAATAGTAAAACATTCTGCTACTTGTCTATAAAAACTGTAAAAACAGTAAATACTGGTCTATAATTCCCACTCTACTTTTGTACTCTATTGTACTTTATAATCTCTCAGACTGTCGGTAAATGGATGAACTGCAAAAGTAAGAATTTCATCGTACAGTGTAGCTGCTTGTACACTCGAAAACAAAAAATCAGTAGGTCCTCTGGATGGTTCTTCTCTAATGAAACGTTTCGTCTCTCCTCCAAGAGACTTCTTCAGTCTGATGAGTTTCAGGTGAACTCAGCCTTATAAGCTCCGCCTCCACCTGGTGGACGAACATGTTGGTCACATTCAAAAGAGGGCCATTGACTAACAATAGGCTTTATTAGCTCTATTGTTCATTGAGGGTCATGTGCCCCATCACTTGACTATTGTTGGGGCCCTGATTCACAC